CACAGGGGTTGATTTACTAAAGGCAGATAGTCTGTGCACTTTGCAAAGTACAATTGCACTCTGCAAGTGCAACTGTTCAAGAGCTTAGTAAATAAGTAAAAGCTCTGCTGACTTCCATCATCCAATCATGTGCATGCAAAAATACTGTTGTTTTTTTTTATTTCCTTGCACGTGATTGGGTATTCTTTGCAAAGGGAAGCTTTACTTCATTTACTAAGCTCTGGAGTAACTTTTTATGCATGCAGAGACCCTGGACAAAAAATTGATGGTGGTTTTAATTTTTTTATTGCACATGATATTTGCGCAATGGTTTATCAGCACTAAATTTTAGGAAAAAAAAAAACATTAAAGTTATATTTAGGGCACAAAAAATGCAATATATTACCCAATTTTTTAGTAAAATTTAAAATTTGAGGTTGCACCGACTAAATAGATACCCAATATGTCAAGTTTTAAAGTGTTTGAAAGCCCATTTTTTACCTTAATGTATTCCCTGCATTAAGATAAAAAAATGTCCCAGTGCTAGTATTGCCCCCTCACCTTCCTATATACACACCTGAGTCCTATCTCGATCCAGAGCTGTGCCCATCTGCAGTGGCGCTGGTCCCTCTTCCAGAGGTAAAATGTGTCTGCTGTCAATCAAATTTAGTTAGAAGGGAGCAGGGGGTGGAGCCAAGACATGCTGCGTGTGTCTATGACGGTAGGTGCCCACCTTATGACCCAGATGACGTACCCACCCTCCTCCATCCTACCACACCAATCCCAACATAAAGACAACAGATTTACCAATGGGTTTACTACTGCCCATCTTTGTTGTGAGAGCTGCTGCCTGGGAGTACAAGCCACACGACTCTATCTCCACCATCGGAAGCTCTGGCAAAGACCAGGCATTCTCAAGCATTGCACCTCATGATGAATCCTTGTCCCCCATTTGTGACACAACTGTTAATCTTTGTTCAGTCTGTCTTTGTACATCGTCATTTATTTCTGATGGTTCACTTGTTTTGATCTCCCTCCACTAATTTTTGCCCTCCTCTGGTGTTTGATCCCCATGAATGCTTGACCTTTTTTTCCCTTTAAACAAAATTGGATGTATCCTGCAGGGTACTGTGGACTAATGAAAACCCAAAGAAAAAGGGTGTCCACCTGGTGACCTTAATATCCCTACCTGTCACTACATCCAACCATACATAAACCCAACATCAAGAGTGCAAACTTAGGAATTGAAACATCAAGTCTTAGAAAGAAAGAAAGAAAGAAAGAAAGAAAGAAAGAAAGAAAGAAAGAAAGGAAAAAGAAAGAAAAAAATGTGTTTAGGGAGAGAAAAGGTGTCATTGCTACATTACAATTCTGTATGCAATGAATTTGAAATAAAAGATTCACATTGGTACTGCAACTGTTCAGACTTTCTTGATTTTGTATTGACCTTTGTATAAATCATTGCTGGTGTTTACCGACAAGCCTAAGCTTTTGTACTGTTCACTTCTGCTGTTGTGTTATATATGTTTTCACCCAAGATTCACAGGACTTTCACTCAAGATTCACCCATTCCCATTCTAAGGGAATATTAAGTAAAAAAAGTGAAAGTTGTGTGAAACGTGAGTGAAAAAACATTGGTAAAAAGATCCTTTAGGCTATGTTCAGCATGCATGCTTTGTCAGCAGGCGTCAGACAGGAGTTTGGGAAGCGTTTTTAACGCTTCTCAAACGCCTATGAAAATTCTGCACTTGGCAGCACACAGTGCGGTTCACACTGAAGCGTTAGCGTGGCGTCATGGCAAAACTGGCGCCTCATGTTGAGTCAGGAGGAGTTGAAGCCTCCCATTCAAGTCTATGGTGCCACTCCTCAAACGCCTGGCAGACGTTGGCGGTGCGGTTGCGACATGGTTGTGAGGCGTTTGCGGAGCGTTAATACCATTTAACTTCATTATAGGCATTGTGGTGCAGTTTTAATGCTTGGCAAATGCCTATCAAATGCTTCACAACCGCGCATAGGTCGTTTGGGGAGCATTTAAGGAACGTTAAAAATGCTTCCCAAATGCCTGTCAAACGCTATAGGGTCTTTTGGCAAGAGTTAGACAAGTATAAAACATCAATTTAGAACCTATGAGCCTAAAAAAACATTAAAATAAAAATGGCCCATACCAACTCAAGAAGACTGAAAGATGGTATTTAAAGTGTTACTAAACCGTGGACCCTGCATTCACTATATCTGGTCTCCCCAGACCCTGCATTCACTATATATGGTCTCCCCAGACCCTGCATTCACTATATCTGGTCTCCCCGGACCCTGTATTCACTATATCTGGTCTCCCCGGACCCGGCATTCCCTATATCTGGTCTCCCCGGACCCTGCATTCACTATATCTGATCTCCCCGGACCCTGCATTCACTATATCTGGTCTCCTCGGACCCTGCATTCACTATATCAGGTCTCCCGGGACCCTGCATTCACTATATCTGGTCTCCCCGGACCCTGCATTCACTATATCTGATCTCCTCAGACCCTGCATTCACTATATCCGGTCTCCCCGGACCCTGTATTCACTATATCTGGTCTCCCCGGACCCGGCATTCCCTATATCTGGTCTCCCCGGACCCTGCATTCACTATATCTGATCTCCCCGGACCCTGCATTCACTATATCTGGTCTCCTCGGACCCTGCATTCACTATATCAGGTCTCCCCGGACCCTGCATTCACTATATCTGGTCTCCCCGGACCCTGCATTCACTATATCTGATCTCCTCAGACCCTGCATTCACTATATCCGGTCTCCCCGGACCCTGTATTCACTATATCTGGTCTCCCCGGACCCTGCATTCACTATATCTGATCTCCTCAGACCCTGCATTCACTATATCCGCTCTCCCCGGACCCTGCATTCACTATATCTGGTCTCCCCGGACCCTGCATTCACTATATCTGGTCTCCCTGGACCCTGCATTCACTATATCTGGTCTCCCCGGACCCTGCATTCACTATATCTGGTCTCCCCGGACCCTGCATCCACTATATCTGGTCTCCCCGGATCCTGCATTCACTATATCTGGTCTCCCCGGACCCGGCATTCACTATATCTGGTCTCCCCGGACCCTGCATTCACTATATCTGGTCTCCCCGGACCCTGCATTCACTATATCTGATCTCCCACAGTACACAGAACATGGAAATGTAATTATTATAGTAATTATAAACTGCTAAATACCTTTTCTCATCAGCAGTTAGAGCAGTCTTGTGTCTTCTATCAGTGTCCGGCTGAGCACTAGTTAAAGCTTGTAGGAGGATTTTCCGTTCTCCTCTAACTGTTCTATGAGGCTGCATAACCCCTGACCCTCTGTCTGGACAGTGCTGATTAGCCCTGTGCCGATCACATGCACCCTCCCAAAAAAACTCTCTAGCAATACACACCAAACAGAGCATGTGCAGACTTGCCACTGCTGTTCTAACTATGGCAGATGGATTGGGGACAGCAAAAGAAGGGAATGATCAGAGAAGACAGGATCAAACAGTCTTTTTACACAATGCTTAGGATTAACCTCTCAGATTCCACAGTGAGTATACCAAGCATGCTTCAATACATATACAGACTGATTTTACTGTTGTGGATTTAGTAACACCTTAAGGACGCTTGCAGGTGCTGGCTCCCAAACAACCAACTAAAATCAAACACATTTCTTAACTATTGCATGCCTGGACCACTACTTATCCACTGCATGCATTTATTTTTTCATTTAGTGAACTAACAGTTTTATGAGGTATCAGTGAATTGATAAAAATGTGTCAGATCCCCTAAATACTCGATGTAGAGCTATTCATCCTGAGGTCATCACAGAGGACAAGGGGGCACTCTTTACGTCTGGAGGAAAAGAAATTTAATCTCCAAAAATGGAAAGGTTTCTTCACAGTGAGAGCTGTGAAAATGTGGAATAGACTCCCTCAAGAGTTGGTTCTGGACAGCTCAGTGGATTGCTTTAAAAAAGTCCTGGATTCTTTCCTAGATACACAGAATATAACTAGATACTAACATTTATAGGTAAAGTTGATCCAGGGAATATGCGATTGCCTCTCGGGGGGATCAGGAAGGAATTTTTTCCTGCAGGAGCAAATTGGATCATGCTTTGCTGTTTTTTTTGCCTTCCTCTAGATCAACTGTGGGTATAGGATTATAACTTTTTTTTTTTTAATGGTTGAACTGGATGGACTTTTGTCTTTTTTCAGCCAGACTAACTATGTAAATACCACATGTGATCTGCTTTAGTGAATGTGAATGTAGAAATGCTGAAGGGTGAGGGCATTTAGGGCACACTTTGAAGCTATAATTGTGTGTGATATAATCTCTCTTATAGCTTATGCAATAAATTAATAACAGCCTTGTGGGAGCTTCAGAATGTTGTGTTTTAAAGATTAAAAGATCAGCTTTTAATAAAATTCATAACACAATACTAAAGATTTTATTATATATTTTGTTGGTGTCATAAATGTATACAAGCACCCCAAAAGTTTCATCAACATATTTACACTATTTTCAGATGTTTTTATTAAATTACATATGAGTGTTGATCAGTTCCTCTTTAAAATTCCCCGGTAAGAAAAGTGTTCTATTTTGTAAATTATCAACAATGACAAGGTTCTTAACCCCTCCCTACTCTATCCAATGCTAAAAAATAGTTTTGAACTTGGTGTTATATTATAAGAAAAACCTAGAAACATTTAGCATGGTCTACTTTAATTCTCAAGCTGGAGACATTTCTAATTCCAGGCTGCTAAAAATTAGATTGAATGGTAGGTTTCCAAGCAGTACAAACAGAAGAACCTTCCTTCCACAGTCCACGTGTAACTGGCAACAGAGTGTTCACCTGGTGCCCTTGGCTGACTACGGTCCAGCCTCTGAATGTTTAAGTTGCAGTAGAAAGATTGGCCTGCATTGTTGTAGAATAAAAGCCTCACAAATAATGCTCTACTCAGTCTTGGACATTGCCACTCAGACAAAAAACAAGATTATCTGGGGAACAAACATATATCAAAAGGCCGATGAATGGTACTGTTACTGTTGGGCAGAGGAGAGATGTCAATATCTAAAGGATCCTCATCAGATTTCAAGTTAAAATTTTGCAGAATAGTAGTAATAAATAGAAAGAGCTCCATTCTTGCCATTCCTTCCCCAAGGCAGATCCTCTTTCCTGTAGGCAACAGAAACACAAGACAATCAAGATGCTGACTGTAAGTCTCATATAAAAAAATCTGTTTCTTCCATTTACCTATAGAAAATGGCATGAATGCCTCATTCTTCCGGAATCCCCCCTTTTCATCTAGAAAATGTTTTGGGTTGAATTTGTGAGGGCTCTGAAAGTGTTTAGGATCCTTCAGGACAGAGGTCAGAAGTGCAAAAATGGTTGTGCCCTTCAAAGAGATGAAACATTGTAAAAGCAATATAGTCAATAATAATACAAATATATAATAGAATGTTCATCAGGTTTAAATAGAACTATGGCTCCTTTTTAAAAACAACACAAAATGTGCTGAAGCTGAAATCCAAAATATAAAAAAAAAAATATAACCTTGCAGAACCTCCCTACACAAATTGCCAGGGTGAGGTGCTTGGTAAAGCCTGAGGCCAGAAAAATATGAAGCCCTCCCTCCTCCCACCAACCCTAACCTGCCAGGTTTTTTACTGTGCTTACCTGATGAAGCAGGATATACTTACCTGAGACCCCTTCTAGGTCCCTTGCTTTTGCCATTCCTGGGTGCAGGGAACTGCTGATCCAGGGTTGCAAATCCTCCCAAGACCACAGGTCCCCCTGCCAACTCTTGAGGTGATGTCACTGGGCACTCTGCTGGACAACCAATAGAGGTGTCCATATCACTGCCTGAGAAACCAGTTCTTGATCTTTGGCTTTGTTATCTATTGAGGGGATTAGAACTTGAATAGGGCAAGGGGGGTATAGGATGCCCAAGGGAACCAAAAAGGACAACTTCCTGAACTATTCACAAGCTTCTCCTTCTTCTGCAACACAATCTCTGTTGGAGTACTAGCCAGCATCTCCTAGCTATACCACCCCAGGCCCTATATGAACTCCTTTTCACCCAGCAATCTAGAGACTTTATTCCTGAGCAGGGGATTTGTCTCCTGTCTCTTTAAATGAGGTGAACAGTCACTAGTAGGGGGCTAATCTGGTTTCCCACCAGAATGCTCCTTTCCCTATTCACCCAGGGGGTACAGGCATACTCACTTAGATCCTTTCATGTACCACTGGTGGGTAGATTTCTGCCACCCGGCAGCTGGGCTGCTCCTCTCCTGCCATACAGGTGGTCCTCTCCCAGGGGGCCAGTGTGTCCAAATTTTTTTTCCTTTCCAGCTCCAGGCTTGCAGGTAGGCCCCATCCCATTAGGCCTCCTGGCAGCCTTCTTCCTCCAACCTCACATCTTCCTACTCCGTCTTCCACCCAACTCCTCACACACCAACTCCTGCCACTGAGCAGGCTCTTACACTTTAAAGGGAGTCTCAGCCTCTTGCCAAGCCTTCTATTGGGAATTGGCTGAGGTTCCTCAAGCGTGCAGCCAGCCACTCCTCAGAGCCACCCACTGCCTCCAAGGCCTTCCTCCAAAAGCCTCAGAGCAGGGGGAAATTCCAGAGGGGCTGGCCTGTAGAGTCTCTCAGCCCTGACCACAATCTGACCCCACTGGCTATTACACCTGAGCTGCTAATCAGTTCCTGGCTAACCATTGGGATCTAGCTCTCCCTAGGTAAACTAGGAGGGTGCTACACAAGAAAACAGAAGATGAGAGAAGGACTGAGACAATGGCATCTTGTGATTGTGACTTCAGGTACGTAAAAAGGGCATTTGGGATTTTTTTGTCATACCAATGAATCAATCAGAGTGTGACTACCGGTCAAAGTGCCAAAGGGAGAATGACTGGTCACAAGGTGCAGTGCAATGCCTGCTGGACTGAAGGATAAGGTAAGTAGTATAGCTCCTCTACTCCAAGATTTCAGCAGTTAACCTTTGCAGTGTGGGGGAGTACAACTTTAACTATGGGTGCATGTGCATCTACAGTTTTTGTCAGGAATGGACTTGCCAATAGTGGTAGGACTCACCTGCCTTGTGGGCTGCAGTACCAGGGCTGGCCAGCAGGTGCTCTCAACAACCAGAGGTTCACTTCGGCAATTAGCCATCACCTGGGGCTGATTGCAGGTGTATTTAAAGGATGGCCAGACCTGCAGTCTGTGCCTTGGTGTGTGTTTTTCCAGTGGCCCCTGTACCTTGTAACCTGCGTTCCTGTTCCTGTTTCTGCCTCTGCCTGACTTGTTGCCGACCCTGCCTGATCCTGACCTCTGCTGACTTCTCCTGTTTTGATCCCTGGCTTGTGACCCTGACCATTCTCTCCGCCTGCTCCTCCTGTACCTACCTGCCCGATAGTTATCGACCCGGCTTGCCTGACTACGTTGTGCTCTATATGTGTATGTACCTGTGTATCTGTATCAGTTTAAGTTTGTTTCACCTTGTTGTATGTATTTGTGTTAGCTTGGGGTTTGGTGCACTGCGTTTATGTTTGTATTGTTAGTCTTTAATAAATTGTCTTATTTATACCATATCTGAAGCTTGCGTTTCCCTGTGTCAGTCCACACACTTCTGGTCACACCCGCATCCCTGACAGTTTTCTTTTAGTCCTCCTACCAAATTCCACAAATAGCCATCGAGCCTGCCAATGAAGACCACCTAGTGCAGCTTCCTGCGATGGGGTGGCAATACTACTGCACTGCTCCAAAATTCAGAGCAGAGTTGCCACTCTCATGTAGGCTGTACCTGCTTGAACTACAGTGGGGTGAAAATGTTTCAGGGGGTGTGGCTGTCAGCATTGTAACTGCTGTTTCACAAGCCTGTAGCTTATCATTCACAATGGTCACACTTAGTCCTGCCCACTGCCAATGTGAAAGATCTGTATACCATCTAGTTCCCACTATACATACTATAGGTTGATCATATAATCTCTGTACTATCAAATTTAGATCTACCAATACTATGTAATATGGGAGCCAATTAATCTGTATCCAATCACAAAGGCCCTTGTATTACATCTCTTAAGCTGACCATAGATGGGTAGAGAATTGTTAAAAAAATTGTTCGAAAAGCTTGATCATTCAAGTTTCTAAATGTTAGTGGTTTCATTTCAATTCTCAAAATGCAAAGATTTAATCCAAAAAAATGAACCAACATGTCAGAATTTTGTATTGCCGATGATTTTCGAAGTGTGAGTAATGGAATTGATCGAGAATAATGAAAAACATGTTACTGCGCATGAGCATGTGAAATTGATCGATAAAAAATATACCTGTTATGGTGTAGACGAACAGCAATTTGTGGCCTAATAATAGCCTTTTGCAGTCAATTGTACAGCAGTGCTTGCACTGGGGGTTTTCATTGCAGGCCAAGGAGTATGTTAATAGGAAAAGAGAGCAGTGTGACAGCTGCTTTTTTTTTTTACTGTCCAGTCTTGTGTTTGGGTGAGGAAGAGACCTGTAAGGCTGAATTCACACATAGTGCCATGACAGGTCTTTGTAAAACACTTATCAACACAAGGACACACAGAAAACAATTGTTTTCTGTGTGTCCCATTCACGTTCTAACAGCCCGGAGCTGAACCAAAATGCAGACATGAGGCTTTTTATTGCAGCGCACTGTATAGAACTGTATAGCACCGTACAATAGTGCAGCACATCATGCTGCTGTACGGTGTCATGAATAAAGTGTACTTTTGTACACTTCAAATAAAGTTTGTACAAAAAAAAGGGAGCTGTGAGATGCACTGAATCATGCACCACACTCCCCCCTACCGCAACTGGGAATGGACAGCTGCTGGAGAGGTAAGGCGCTCTGGCAGCTGTCGATTCTAGTGTGAATTCATCTTCCACTGGAGGATCTTTCCACTGATCTCCGCTGAGCAGGCAGATGGCTGATTTGTGTCTGCTTCACTTATGCAGCGGGCTCAGACACAGCCCACACCCCTCTATGGGCATTCAGATGTAAACAGACCGCCTGTGTAATCCTCTAGCACAGTGGTTCTCAACCTTTCTAATGCCGCGACCCTTTAATACAGTTCCTCATGTTGTGGTGACCCCCAACCATAAAATGATTTTCATTGCTACTTCATAACTGTAATTTTGCAGTGAGAGGAGTAGTGCCACGTCATTGGTGTCAGTGGGAGGAGTAGTGCCACATCACTGATGTCAGTGGGAGGAATAGTGTTCCATCGTTGGTATCAGTGGGAGGAATAGTGCCCCATCATTGGTATTAGTGGGAGGAATAGTGCCCCATCATTGGTATTAGTGGAAGAAATAGTGCCCCATCATTGGTGTCAGTGGGAGGAATAGTGTCCCATCATTGGTGTCAGTGAGAGGAGTAGTGCCCCATCACTGATGTCAGTGGGAGGAATAGTGCCCCATCATTGGTGTCAGTGGAAGGAGGAATAGTGCCCCATCATTGGTATCAGTGGGAGGAATAGTGCCCCATCATTGGTGTCAGTGTGGGAGGAATAGTGCCCCATCATTGGTGTCAGTGGGGGGAATAGTGCCCCATCATTGATACTAGTGTGGGGGGGAATTTTGCCCCATCATTGGTGTCAGTGGGGGGGGGGAATAGTGCCCCATCGTTGGTGTCAGTGGGGGGAGGAATATTGCCCCATCGTTGGTGTCAGTGGGGGGAGGAATAGTTCCCCATCGTTGGTGTCAGTGGGGGGGGAGGAAATAGTGCCCCATCATTGGTGTCAGTGGGAGGAATAGTGCCCCATCATTGGTATTAGTGACACCAATGATGGGGCACTATTCCTCCACTGACACCAATGATACTTACCTTGCTGACTCCTGCTCCAGCCTGGGCTCGCTCCCTCCCTCTCCCATCTACAGCTAGCAAACCTGGCTGCAGTAGCACCATCTGCATGCTACAGACACTTACCTGTCAGCTGTCTTCCTTCTCCGGCCGCTCCCTCGCTCGATCTTCTTTGATCTTTGCGCTGCTGCTCGGCGCCTCCTCTCCAAGCTCCACCTCCTCGCTGGTGATTGGCCGCCTGTGTGCCTTTCCTGAGCTACAGTTCCGGCGGCCAATCACTGGCGAGGAGGCGGAGCTGTTGAGTGATCCCGGGGATGTGGCCAAGATGACAGGGGCGGCATGTCATCCCGCGCACACATCACGGTCCAGGGAAGTGTGGACGTATCTGCATGTGGGCGGACCCGCCTGGAGACTGATAGAGGAGCGGTGTCTCAGTTCCTAAGACCATCTGAAATATGTGTTTTCCGATGGTCTTAGGAGACCCCTGTGAAAGGGTTGTTCGACCCCCAAAGGGGTCGCGACCCACAGGTTGAGAACCGCTGCTCTAGCAGGAAGAGGTATGGATCCCCCATCCATCTGTTTTTAGCTGATTGAATTTGATTGGATGTAGGCTGGTGTACACGGACACATGTCCGTATACACCCACCACTCCATAGAGGTGAATGGAGGGTCCGATCGGTTCCGCCTGTCAGTTTTCAGGTGGACCCAATCGGACCCATTATTCTCCTCTATGGAGCAGTGACAGTAAACGGACTGCTAGTATGGAAGGGGCCCTAGTGTTACTAAGCTATAGCAAAGAAACAAAAAAAAAAGAAACCTCCTGTGCTGCCAATAAAAAAAAACACAAAATTGGGTGGCTGCTGGCACCTACCTATATTACCAATAGTGACAAAAAATTAATGAGAAAATGGATTCTGCGCTACCCAAAAGAATGAGTAAATAATATAATAATGAGTAAACAATATAAGTGACAAAAACAAGTGAAAATTAATAAAAAAAAATATGAATTAGCAATTCATAAACTGGATGAGCAATAAAAATAAAAATAAAGTGGGTGAATAATAAACAATATAAATGAATCATAACTAATTGTGACCCAATAAGGGAACAATATATGATGAATATTAATAATGAATCGCATCACATGTGCATAAACCATGTGACAACACAATATTAATGTGCACAGACCAAAAAAATCTGTGTTCTTCAAATATATGGAATATCCAGTGAACACTGCAATGAGTAATCCATCACCATCTAGCGTGCATGCTCACCTCCAGGTTGCGACTTGCAGGGGTCAACACACTTCAATATAACACTCAATATTCAAAACTCCTTTTCGTATATGTCCCCTCGGCCGTAATCATGGGAATCCTCTTGGCAGAAACAATACAGCTCTCATGAATGTATCAACACTGGTGGTGTTCCTCACGGAAGTGATTGGATAAGCTCACCTGGAGCAGCCCCCGCAGGGAAAATTAAATCAAAAGAACTCCCATAGTGTAGTAAGCATGTCCATTTATTAAATAAAAACAATAAAGTTCCTACTCACATAAAAACGAAGGGTTAACAGACCCACATGCGTAAAAACTGCACATAACACATAGGTGTATTGCATACAGGTGTACAAAGATGGCGGCTGCTGTCCGTGCCAGAAATGATGTCATCATGCTTCCGTCCTACACGTTGCGTCTCGAGTCACGTGACTTTCTCAGGGCCCTGAGGTGAGCGTGCATGCTAGCTGGTGGTGGATTATTTCTTGCAGTGGTCACCAGATGTCTCACATATTTGAAGAACACAGATTTTTGGACTGTGCACATTAATATTGTGTTGTCATATTGTTTTTCACATGGTTTATGCACACGTTATGTGATTCATTATTAATATTCATCATATATTATTCACTTATTGGGTCAAGATTAGTTATGATTTATTGTTTATTATTCACCCACTTTATTTTTATTTTTATTGCTCACCCAGTTTATTAATTGTTTATTCATAATATTTTTATTCATTTTCACTTGTTTTTGTCACATATATTATTTACTCATTCTTTTGGGTAGCGCAGCTTCCATTTTCTCATCCAAGCTATAGCAAAGAAAACTCAGGCTTCCTCCACACAGGGCTGTGTAAATCTTAGAACTGCTCCTTTCCATGTATTTCATTTCTATACTTAAAGGTTTGTGTGGAGTTCAGCTTTACATGTTTACAGGCTATCACAATGCAGATAAGAGATCCTTTGCTATCACAAAACCCAGACCTCACGTGGTTACACACAGTGCAGCTTGTGGTACAAAGATCTAACATTTTGTAACCTTAGGGATGGTGTAGCCTCGGAACACGATAGTCTCAGCAGTTGCATGCGGTACACTCATAGGCAAGACATCTGATATTCTTTGTATTTCATGAATCACGGCCTCTGTATATGGCATTTTGCTTCGATCCTCCAAGGAGGGACAGCGGTTCTGGCCAATCACATGGTCAATTTCTTCCTGCACTTTAGCTGTGTAGAGAGGATTCACTATTTATTGAAAGATGTTTTTAAAATTCTGTTCCTGGTCAATAACACGCAGCAATGGACTGGTTTGAAACCCTTTATAAGTGAATTAAAAATGTATATTTTCTACATAATAGGTGAACACCTCTCAACTGTTTTGAGGAAAAAGTAAAATGTCTCTATAGTTCTTCAAGGGACACAGGGTTAAAAGGAATTTGGAGACACTGGGTTACACTGCCACCTTCAAGAGAATTGGACATTGGCAACAAAAAAGTAGCTCAGATGACAGTATGACCCCTCTCGCTCCCACCATGCTTCAGTTTTATGCTAGTGTCCTAGAAGTTGGGATGTCTTTTTTTTTGCACTCTTTGCAGCTTTCCTCTCCCCCCCCCCCCCCATTCCTTATTTACTGTACAACTGTTCTGAAGGCCTTAGCGGTGTCAGAGCTGAGGGTCTGAATGGACTTTACTAGAAGATTAATGCAGAACCTCACCACAAGGGATCTGGTCTGGAGAGGGAATGTCTCACCCACTGGACCATGTCTGGAACAAGCTGGAAGTTGGCAACTGTCCTGTGAGTAATGACCCTAAACTGATCCCTGTGATTATGTAGTGTTCTGGAGATTGCACTGGATACCAGCAGTTGTGCATTGGCACAAGGTAACTAGATGCCAGAGAGACTTGTCTCATAGTCTCCAGCTGTGAGGCCTCAGACTGTCCAACACCCACAACTACTCAAGAAGATTGTCTCTAAACACTAAGTGCTAAGAGCTTTTGGAGGATCCCATGCCCCAACCCCTCTCCTGATAAAGTTCTTAAAAAAAAAAAAAAAGACATCCACTAGACTGTTTCATTGGAGCTGAACCAATTGTTATCAGTGATCGCTACGTGGGGTAGAGCTACGCATGTAGGTGTTGAACCCCAGTTAACTAACCAAACCCTGGTTAATTAATTTGTTTTTCTACTTATGGCTGAAGTAGCGGAAACCCACAATGTTGGCCGTTTTTGTCAAATGCACCAAAACCTTAAAGATTGTCTCATAGAATTTCCATTAATGCAAACATGAAGTCGAGCTATTCTTCCATGACTAAAATATATCAAAGAGTTTTTCAAGAGAAAAAAAGTCTTTGACCACACTTACCTAAAATGTCCGGGTACTTTAGCAATATCCTTAAGCTGAGTCTTATTGTCGTACTTGTTGTTTCTGTCCCAGCTAAGAAAAGATTTATCACAGTAACAAACAGGTTTTGAAAGTGGAACTCTGTGTTAGGGTTATCCTTTTCCTAAGACACAAAATAAATTGTATAAAATGTGTGAACTAAGTTTCTTCTTGGCAGCAAAATTACAATTCTACCTTGCATTGGTGTGACTTTAGCAAATTTGGGAAACACCAAGTCTTAGATGAAGATCCTTCTATTAAAATGCCAGTGTTAAATGCCTTAGATAAAGGATTAGAAATATTTATTGGAAACATTTTTTGGAAATCCAGTTTATTTATTTTTTTAACATTTTTGAGCCCCCCACACCACTCTCTCCATAGAAAATGTGCCAGGCTGTATTTACCCTCTTCATAATCCAGCATTGTCCCAGCTGCATCTCCACCTAGCAGTGCTGGTCTTCTTCTGGCAGAATGAGAGTCATGTAATTTTGCCTATTTTATGTGAGTACTGCCTGTTATTGACACCCACCACCTTTTTTCCCCGAGGCTGCGTCATCACGCAGGCTGAGCCACAAGGATTAGGTCACACTGATGCTCATTATATGAGCAATGCCCCCCCCCAAATAAAGAAAAGGAAGGACCATGACATCACCAGACCACCTGGAAGACTTCAGGAAAAAGGTATGTATAGATTTTTTTTTTTTCTTTAGAAAAGTAAGACTTGCGGGGAGGGTTCTGGGGTTGCTGTAGGAGGACTTTCACCTTTAGACGGATTTAATTTTCAATGAAAAATATTGTGGATTAAATGAATGAGATGTCAGCCTAATTTAGCTCTCACTTTTATATTTAAGAGAGAAGGTGTAGATGATTCTTCACAATCTAGGGGCCGGGTAACACCGGAATGCGGTGTGGGAACACTGGGTGTGCTATCTGCTGCAGGTGTCAATATATTCCTAACAACATCCCAAATGCTCCTTTTTGCACTATCCAGTGTGATTTTCATCCCATTAAAATGAATGGGCTGAAAATCGCACTGTACTGTACTGAGGCGCACAGGAATTGCACAGGAATGCAGACTGTGTTCCTGTGCGATTCAGGTGTGAACCAACCCTAAAGAGAGCAATAAAAACCCGACAGCAGTTCTAACCTTCTTCCACCCTATCAAAAAAAATCACAAAATCAAAAAAAAAGCTAAAGTTACTCACAATCCTTTTCAAAGTGAAACTTATTATTATTATTATTATATTATACAGGATTTATATAGTGCCAACAGTTTGTGCAGTGCTTTACAATCTAAGGGAGACAGTACAATTACAATATATTTCAGTACAGAAGGAATAGGAGGGCCCTGCTAGTGGACTTCACAATCTAAAGGAAGGGGGATGTGATTCAAAAGGTGATAGCTGCAGGGGATGATCTAGTGGAGGTGATTCAAGTACAGTTCTTAGGTGGAGGTGGGGTAGACTTCCCTGAATAAGTGAGTTTTCAAAGATCGCCTCAAGGCAGACAGGGTGGGGGCTGACCGGACATACTGCGGTAGGGAGTTCCAGAGGATGGGAGAGGCACTTGAGAAGTCCTGGAGGTGAGCGTGGGAGCAAGTGACAAGGGAGCTAGAGAGGAAGATGTCTTGGGAGGAGCGGGCAATTCGGGCGATATCTGCGGATGAGGTTGGTGATGTAGCTAGGGCAGTGTTGTGCATGACTTTGTATGTTGTGGTTAGTATTTTGAATTTTATACGTTGGGTTAGTGGAAGCCAGTGAAGGGATTGGCAGAGAGGGGCAGCAGTCACTGATTGGTTGGTAAGGTGTTTGAGTCTAGCAGCAGCATTTATAATAGACTGACGAGGTGATAATCTGTGTAGAGGTAGACCAGTGAGGAGGGAGTTGCCGTAATCAAGGCGGGATAAAATCAAGGCGTGGATAAGTTGTTTTTTGGTGTCATTGGTTAGAAATGGGCGGGGTTTTTGGAAATGTGCTGGAGGTGGCGGCGGACGGATTTAGCCAGTGATTGGATGTGGGGCCCAAAGGAGAGGACAGAGTCTAGGATTACACCTAGCACCCTGGCATGAGGGTAAGGACCAATGGTTGTGCTGTTGATCTTAATGGTAAAGTCGTGAGTGGGGGAATCGGGGGGGAGGAAATATTACAAGCTCAGTTTTGGAAAGATTGAGTTTAAGGTAGTGGTGTGACATCCATGCTGATATGTCACTTAGAAGATTTGTAATATGTGAGGAGATTGAGGGGGTGAGCTGGTGAGTGGAGAGATAGATCTGGGTGCCATCAGCATAGAGGTGGTATTGGAAGCCATGGGAGGTTATCAACTGGCCCAGGGAGGAGATGCAGAGAGAGAAAAGGAGGGCCCAAGGACAGAGCCTTGGGGTACCCCAACGGAAAGAGGGAGAGGAGCGTAGGAGTTGTATGTGACGCTGAAACTGTGCTGAGAAAGGTAAGAGGAGAACCAGGAGAGAGCAGAGTAACAGAGGCCGATGGAGTGGCGTTTACTGAGGAGGAGCGGTGTGGTCAACTGTGTCAAAGGCAGCGGAAAGGTCTAGGAGTATAAGTATGGAGTAATGACCATTGGTTTTAGCAGTTAGTAGGTCGTTAATGAGTTTTAGTAGGGAAGTTTCAGAGTGGAATGTTGTGGGCGGAAGCCAGACTGTAGGGGATCGAGAAGGTTGTTGTCGGTGAGATAACAGTTCAAACGGTTGTGAACAAGGTGCTCAAAAAGCTTAGAGGCAAAAGGGGGCAGGGAGATGGATCTTAAGTTATTCAAACAGGTGGGGTCCAGCAAGGATTTTTTAAGTATGGGGGTAACCAGTGCATGTTTGAGCGGGGAGGGAAAGGTGCCCATGTAGAGTGAGAGGTTGAAGATGTGGGTTAGAGAGTTTAGGATAGAGCAGGAAGGAGGCTGCAATAGTCATGAGGGCATGGGGTACAGGGGACAGATGGTGAAGTGATGGTGAAGTGAGCCTTGGAAAGGAAACTGATGCCCCATTTGGCTACCATTACCCCTACTTCTGGGTATGGAAGAACATGTTCTTGTTTGAAATCTTCGTATTTTCAATGCACTAAAATCAAATGCTGAAGCACACTACAGAAGATTACTGCCGATTAGTGGCTAAACTTAACATTGTCCATGTTGGTAATGTGTATGATAGCCCTAACGATCAACTTCTTCATTTGCTATCTCTTTGTCTGTTATATACAGTGGGGATCGAAAGTTTGGGCACCCCAGCTAAAAATTTGTATTAATGTGCATAAAGAAGCCAAGGAAAGATGGAAAAATCTCCAAAAGGCATCAAATTACAGATTAGACATTCGTATAATATATCAACAAAAGTTAGATTTGATTTCCATCATTTACACTTTCAAAATAACAGAAAACAAAAAAAAATGGCGCCTGCAAAAGTTTGGGCACCCTGCAGAGTTAATATCTTGTACTGCCCCCTTTGGCAAGTATCACAGCTTGTAAACGCTTTTTGTAGCCAGCCAAGAGTCTTTCAATTCTTGTTTGAGGTATCTTTGCCCATTCTTCCTTACAAAAGTCTTCCAGTTCTTTGAGATTTCTGGGCTGTCTGTCACGCACTGCTCTTTTAAGGTCTATCCATAGATTTTCAATTATGTTGAGGTCAGGAGATTGTGAAGGCCATGGCAAAACCTTCAGTTTACGCCTCTTGATGTAATCCCCCGTGGATTTCGAGGTGTGTTTAGGATCATTATCCATTTGTAGAAGCCATCCTCTCTTTAAGTTCAGCTTTTTCACAGATGGCATCAAGTTACCATCCAAAATTTGCTGAAATTTTATTGAATCCATTTTTCCTTCTACTCGTGAGATGTTCCCTGTGCCACTGGCTGCAACACAACCCCAAAGCATGATTGATCCAACCCCATGCTTAACAGTTGGACAGAGGTTCTTTTCATTAAATTCTGTGCCACTTCTTCTCCAAACGTACCTTTGCTCATTCCGGCCAAAAAGTTCAATTTTAACCTCATCGGTCCACAGAACTTGTTTACAAAATGCATCAGGCTTGTCTATATGTTCATTTGCAAAGTTCAAACGATGATTTTTGTGGTGAGGACGTAGAAGAGATTTTCTTCTGATGACTCTTCCATGAAGACCATATTTGTACAAGTATCTCTTTATAGTGGAATAGTGTACCACAACTCCAGTGTCTGCCAGATCTTTCTGGAGGGATCGCGCAGTCAAACGTGGGTTTTGAATTGTTTTTCTCACAATCCTGCGAGCTGTTCTGTCTGATATTTTTCTTGGTCTTCCAGATCTTGCTTTAACTTCCACTGTTCCTGATGACTGCCATTTCTTAATTACATTCCGAACAGAGGATATTGACATCTAAAAACGCTTTGCTATCTTCTTATAGCCTTCTCCAGCTTTGTGAGCGTCAACTATTTTCAGTTTCAGTTTTCTAGACAACTGCTTAGAAGAACCCATGGTGCTGATTGTTGGGGCAAGGTCAGATGAGTCTGGGCATTTAAAACCTTTGAGATTGACATCACCTGGTCTTCCCAGACGATGATTGAGAACAATCCATGACACTGGCATGTCTCATCTTTGCAAAGGGGGCAGTGCATGCTATAAATTCTGCAGGGTGCCCAAACGTTTGCAGACGCCATTTTTTTGTTTTCTGTTATTTTTGAAAGTGTAAATGATGGAAATCAAATCTAACTTTTGTTTACATATTATAAGAATGTCTAATCTGTAATTTGATGCCTTTTGGAGATTTTTCCATCTTTCCTTGGCTTCTTTATGCACATTAATACAAATTTTTAGCTGGGGTGCCCAAACTTTCGATCCCCACTGTATATGCCATTGAACATGTTTTGTTATATCTGTCTGATAAGTGCAAAAAAAATGTTAATGTCAGAAATTCCGTGTTGTCCTGTACACACTTCCTGTGTTATAACACGGAGCCTCGTCAGCCCTCACAGCTCTTATTTTGGGCTACAGAATAACAGCTGACTATATTGTACTTGGGTTTAGGCAAAAGAAGTTTAGCAAAAGACAATTGATAGGGTCTTTAAAGAGAAACAATATTGGGTGATATGCAAGTACTGCATAAAAGGACTGTATATACTGTATATTTTTTAATTTTGCCTTGACATATGCTTAATGGCCTACATGTACCCTAGAAAGGGGCAAGCTCTCTACAAACCCAATGTATTGTGACTTGGCTCTTACTTGCCTGCTCCATTTTTATAAGGAAGCAATCTATGAAGTCTCTGGGACAGTTTTGGTCCAGTGTCTTCTGATGCTCTCTCACTTTATCCATCACAAACTCATTCAGAGTGAAGAAGTTCTGAATCACTTGATGATGTGGTCCCGGCAGATGATGCATAATTTTAGGAAAAGAATTGAACAGCTATTTTTGGGAATTAAAAATAAAAAAGTATATCATATAAATGCAACGACTGCAATATTTGCATTGAAGGAACAGTAACTGATTCATCCTTATAATACTAATAGCTGCTAACATTTAGCATTATGGGATCTTTAAAGTGACCATAGCATCATATATATTTTTCATGTTAAAGTGTTACTAAACCCAGGACCCTGCATTCACTATATCCGGTGCATTCACTATATCTGGTCTCCCATAGTACACAGAACATGGAAATGCAATTGTTTTAGTAAATATAAACTGCTAAATACCTTTTCTTATCAGCAGTTAAAGCAGTCTTGTGACTTCTATCAGTGTCCTGGTTAAAGTTTGTAGGAGGAGTTTTCATTTTGCAGATGATGCAGGGAATGGAGAACCCCTGACCTCTGTCTGGACAGTGCTGATTGGCCCTGTGCTGATTGCATGCACTCTCCCAAGAAAAAAAAAAAAACCCTCTGTAGCAATACACACTAAACTGAGCATTTGCAGAGTGACTCCACATGATATGTCTTATCAGGGGATAAGAGGGGACACTGGAAGAAGGGGAGGATCAGAGAAGTCAGGATCAAACAGCGGTTTTACACGATGCAGAGGATTAACCCCTTATGTTCCACAGTGAGTATACAAGCTGGCTTTACTGCATATACAGACTGATTTCACTGTTGTGGGTTTAGTAAAACTTTAAGTGCATGCATGTTAAGTAATGCGTAATCTAACATGTACCAACATTTATTGCCTCTCACAAAGATCACAAGCCCCCGCGCCCTTTATGGCCGTGTAGGCTTGTCTGCAGACTACCTCAGGTCAACAAGCAGATACTCTTATTCTTTGAGGAGGGCAGGTGCCAGGTTACAATTGGAGCATGAGAGAGGCATGCAGCACAGGGTAGCCAGAAGTAAGGGTGCACCAGAGGCTTGGGGCAGCAGAGGTTCAAACTGAATGCAATAGAAGTTGCTGGTGTAGAGGAAGCACAGCAGAGGTTCAAAAACATGTTCTGACTGGATTCAGTGTTTCATAGGTTTCGAACGGACACAGCAGAGACTGCAGTTGCAGCACAGACATAGAGACTTGGTCTGTGAAGGTTCAAACTCTGGATGCAGTGGGTATTTTGGATGCTGTAGAGGATGAGATTGTAGGTGCAGGAGAGACTGAGAATGCAAGAAGGGTTTTGTAGTATCTGGCTAATGGAAAGCTAGTCCAGTTAGAAAGGTACAGTATATTTCTTAGTTTCATAACTTCTACTGCTTTGAAAGGCCAATTCTTGGGATCCTTATAGGTCAGTGCTGTTTTAGGCGCAACTAGAAAGGAGTAACATCTGATAAACTGCCAATGCAGTTAGCCATGGCTTCAAAGTCCATAAAGGGTGGAACTGAAATTAACCGCCCTCTGTCATAGAGAGTGATGTTAAAGTAGGAACGTGAAAAAGAACAATCTAATAGGCCCAACTCCAAAGCAAATAAAAACTGGGGGTTTCCTGGGTGCCAGGGACACAGGTTGAGAAAATGCCCTTTCTATGCAAGAAACATGCAGAGGCTCTCAGTGCTGTGGCAAGTTATTTCCTCTGAGGAATGCCAAGTTTGTCCGAGTTGCATGGGTTTTGCTGATGAAGGTTTGTGGTGGGAACCTTTTTTGATGCAGAGGAACTAAAAGTGTACACTACTATTTACCTAGAAATGTTCCTTAAATTCAACATCGATCTGGTGAGAAAAACGACATCATCTAGGGAAGCAGGTAGTTCTTTACCTACCAGGTTGTCTTTTATGCAATTAGATAGCCCTTGCCAAAATATGGTTGTTATTCTAAACAAAAGTTGAAAGTAAGCATTAGCGATGGAGGAAGCTCATCGAATGTTCAGTGAACGGCAGCCTGGAACTCAGGTAACTTGTAAACCAGAGGGGAGAAGATTAGACCGAGGCTCCCCATCTAAGAGAGGTAGATTACATAAACCTCTTTAGAACAGTCAGCTGGAAAGTTCTGGGTCTGCAATTCAAAGTAAATTCTGTACTGATTAAGTAAGCCCCAGCAACTCTCAAGATCCACCAAGAAAAAAGGATGTGCAGAGCCGAGGAAGAGGTATTCAGTTGGAGTTGAATCTACTTAGGGGATGAAGATGTGGCGGATGTTGATAGGGTCCACAGGGGGGCTTGCAGGTGATCCAGATGATAATCCAAATCTTGCAAGTATTGTACAAGGCAGTCTTGCATGGCCTGTCATGTTTGCTTGACAAGACCTCCAGAGGGTCAGTGAACAGCAGAAGCAGCTGAGAAGTGTCCATGTTGGCTTGAGTAAACTTTCATGGGTTGACACGCACACTCTGCTCTTCTGAGTGGCTGCTCTGAGTGGCCGCTTCCTCTGTAAGTGGAATCCAAGTGGAAACTGGGGTTCTGCCAAGGATCACCCACGGAGTTTGGGCCTAGATGCAAAGTCAGCCAGGTCAATCAACAGATAATCACAGTCAGGAAGAAGGGTAGGTGCCAGGTTATAAAGAACTGTAGTGGTAGCTGTTGTTCTGTCAGGGATACCCTCACTGGGATTTGAGCTTGTCTACAGGCTACCCTGAGGTCACTTAAAAGATACTCACAGTTGCAGAGGAGTGTAGGTGCCAGATGATGAAGAACTTGAGTGTGAGAGAGATACAAGCTACAGGGTAGACCACAGCAGATATTGAGGTTTGAGGCTGTGAGTGCAGCAGAGGCTGGAGGCTCTGGAGCAGAGTAGGCAGAGTAGGCACAGATTAGACTTAGACTGAGTTCAGCAAAGACTGTAGGTGAAGTGGAGTGGTGGTGAAGGCTACAGGTGCAAAATGATCACAGCGGACGTTCAGAAAATATACAGTAGAGACTTCAGGTGCAGTCAAGACCAGGGGCGGACTGACTATTTGGAAACTCGGGCATTGCCCGAGGGCCCGGGGTCAGTAGGGGGCCCCATGAGATGCCCCTGGTACCTTTTTCATAGGCTTTTTTGAGTGTGGGTGAGGACATAGGGGCCCCATGATCCCCTATTGCCCGGGGGCCCCATGAGTTGTCAGTCCGTCAATGGTCAAGACTGGTGCAGAAAAGGCTCAACGGAGGTTGCAGGTGCGAAGGAATTTCAATGGATGTTCAAACTATTGATGTAGAGGAGACAGCAGTTGCATTGGAGGCTGAAGCTCCTGAGTTTCAAACTGTGGATGCAGTGGAAGCTACAGTTGCAATGGAGACTGAGGTAGGTGATGGTATGGAGGTTCAGACTGTGGATTGAAGCTGAGGCCTGGCTGAGGATCCAGCAGGGACTTAGCTGTGGGTGTGTTGCTGGCCCTAGTCTGTAAGTGGACATTGACTTTGGTAGCTCAGGGGAGCATAGTGACTCCTTACTTGAGCAGTGAAAAAGTGTCAACCTGAATTCTAAATGGAGGGTCCAGCACACCAACATGTCACATTACATGTTTTGTTATACATCATGTTATGTATCATGTGATGCATTGTTGTGTGACATGGCTGGTAAACATGTGAGATTTGTTTTGTTACTAATAGAATTTCCAAATCACAATAGTAACGAATTTCAACAGATCCAAAAAAATATATACCTAAACAAATTATTTGAATTTGAAAATTAATTCAAATTTTTAAATGGAAACATATTGCAAAAATATAGCAAGGTATAAAAGTGAAAAAGGATGATGATTCCTACTGAGGCTGCTTTTTACAATAGAATAGAATACTAAATAAAGGGATAGAATAGAAAATAGAATATTAAAGAAGAGAATAAAATAAAAGAATAGAACAGAATAAATAGAATATAGACGTCTTCTGAAATTAAAATTTTGACATTTGAATTTCTAATTGATTTGAAAACAACAAATACACTAAATGAATCTGAATATACAAAACAAATTCCGAAAACTAATTATTTTAACAACAAATATGACGACAAACAAAATTGTTAACTGATCCAAAATTAGACAAAACCCATTTTTCCATCATGCACATCTTTAACAGCTGATACATTCTGGGTAAAACACACCATGTAACTTGCTATAAAGGGACAATATTTATGTTTGATCACAAAGAAGAGATTAAAGAAAAGCTTTCACTTTAATGATATCTCTGAAAAACAGTGTATGATGTTGCCTATTTTTGATTTTATGGTCAGCAATTCGGGTTCATTTCACTTCTAGTTGCAACAGCATTTGTACAGGAGCAGTGGAATGTTGCACAGAGTGACCCTTCATTTAATGAATTCTAGTCTGGATAAACATGCTTCATTTATTGATTCTAGGGTAGAGCCTGCAGTGTCCTTTGTAGTGTTCCCTCTATAAAGCTATAAAGAGGCCATGACATTTCTTTGGCAGGTCATGTGACCAAGCTCTTTTCTCTCAATTTTCCCCTTCCCCCCATTCATCAAAATAAACGGACCTTTGTTTTCTCCAGGACTTTGATGCTCGGGGGAACATTTGTAAAGCACACTGCTGTGCTCTATAAATGGGCTGGTTATCTTATTTTTAAATCAGTTGTATAGCCACAGTAAGGCCATAGCAGTGCTTTAAAATGAATTTTAAGTGTTAATAAGACAGTCACCCCTTAGAATAAGCATTTAGTACAAAATATAAATCAAATCACATTTAGTAATCTTGTATCCAACTACCGATAATACAAAAAAGGGGCAGAAAAAAGTATGTGTTTTTGTTTGAATGTAGAAGAAATGTTAGAATTAAGATCTAAAAAAATATTGATAGGTTACTTGGTTTTCACCCAGCATTAGCCAGAGCACATGTATGGAATTTTCCCTTAGCCAGGTGAAGTAGTATTCATGTAACTGGATAGATCATGACCTGGTGGTGGCAATGACCAGGGGAACCTGGTGGTGGCAATTTGTGAGACCAAGCTAAAACTGGCCATAGATGTATTGAATCTAGGCCAGTTCAGCAGGGATTAGTTGAGATTTGATGCATCTATAAGTAGGCTAGTTGTATCCAAGTCAATCCATTGATCTACTTTGGTGCAACCAGCCTGTCAGATAGTTTAAATGCTACTACTGCTGGTGGCTACAGTAAGGTTCCCTCTTGGCAGAACATAATAGTACTGTGGGAGGCATTCCCCCATCAACACTGTCACTGCAAAGAAGAAAACTGACCATGCTGGAATGGGTATGCTTCTATGCATAGCTTGGTCAGTTGTAAATAGTAAAGTAGGGGAACTGGTAAGATTACCAGGTATTTCACACAAAGGGTCCAATACAAAGAGAATAGGATACTTTTGTACTTTTTAGTATAAGTACATGGTAACTCAGACACATATCAGAAATATGAAATATTGGGGGTAAGATACTTTTTTAGTATGGGGGCTAATATTACTGACCTTTCTAAAAAAAAAAAAGAGGCAGAAAATAGATGAAAAGAAGGTGGGGGGATTTTCAGTTAATAGGGTAACCTATATTAGAAAACAATGTGCGCTGTCACTGCTGACTTTTAGAAAATACAGTGATACCTCGGTTCAAGAACTAAATTCGTTCCATGGCTCTGGTCGCAAACCAAGGCAAATTTTCCCATAGGGTTCAATGTAAATCAGGTTAATCCACTCTGACCCCTACGAATGTGGTTGCAAACCAAATTTGGTCGCCAACTGAATCAAATTTTACCATAAGCTTCAATGTAAATAAGGTGAACCCATTCTGAACTTTTTTTTGTTTGTTTTTGAAGCACAAAAATATGAAACAAAGTACAATACAGTATGAAAAAAGAGAACACTAACCTTGCTTGAGATGACTTCTGGCGTGGAGAACAGGAAGGCGGGTGGGAGGCGCTTATTGTTTGGAGGGAGAGTCCCCCTCCATAAGGACATTGGGGAGATTTTCTTCAGGGGGTTCCTCTCTTCTTTGTCTCTTAGCTGCAGGTTCAGTTTTGGTGAAAAATCTGTCCAATGTTACTTGTCTTTTCCTGCCCTGCATAACCCTCCGGAAATGAGAGACCACATTATCGTTCATCAGATTCAACACTCTGTTCTTTACAGTTATGTTGGGGTGGTGCGTCTCAGAAAAATCATGGCACTCATTAAATTTTTCCATAATGGATTTTATGGCATCACTGCTAACCTCCTCCCTGTTTCTTCCTCAGTGGAATTCTCCTCAATAAGCACCTTCTGCTGCTCACTGTGGAGTTCAGAAAATTCTTCTGTGGTCAGCTCCTCCTTATTTTCCTCAACAAGCTCCTTTATGTCTGCACTATCGAAGTCCAGACCCATACTCTTGCCCATGGACACAATCTCCTCCACTACATCTGCATCAGACCCTTCAAAGTCACGTTCAGTGACATATTCTGGCCACAGTTTCCTACAGGTATCTGCCACCCCTCTCTGCCAATCCCTCCACTGGCTTCCAATTGCCCAACTGATAAAATTCAAAACACTAACACTGACGTATAAAGCCTTTCATAACACTGCCCCTAATTACATTACCAACCTTGTCTCTAAATACCACCCAAACCGTACTCTCCGCTCCTCGCAAGACCTCCTACTCTCTAGCTCCCTTGTCTCCTCCTCCCATGCTCATCTCCAGGATTTCTCAAGGGCTTCACCCATCCTCTGGAACTCCCTACCCCAATCTATCAGGCTATCGCCTACTCTGCTCACTTTTATGCGCACTCTGAAAACCCATCTCTTCAGGGAAGCCTACCCCGACCCCAGCTAATACTGGAATCCTCTACTCTTCCTACCACTCCATCCCCCACAGGTAATTACCTCTTGTACCACTAACCCCTCCCTCCTAGATTGTAAGCTTCAAGGAGCAGGGCCCTCTAATCCCTCCTGTATTGAACTGTATTGTTACTGTACTGTCTCCCTCCATAATGTAAAGCGCTAAGCAAACTGTCGGCGCTTTATAAGTCCTGTATAATAATAATATTAAGGTTCGGTGAGTGACATCTTCCTAGGCTTTGTCAATGAGGTTGATGCAGTGGAAAACATTGAAATGTTTCTTCCAGAAATCTTTCAGACTTTCAGGACGTCTCTTCAGTGACATTAAAACACCTAGTGAAGTGTGCCTTTGTGTACAGCTTCTTGAAGTTGCAGATCACTTGCTGGTCCATGGGCTGCAGAAGAGGTGTCATGTTGGGGGGAGGAACTTGACCTTTATGAAGTTATAAGCAGCGTCCATATCATCCACCAAGGCTGGAAGGTGTGCCGGGGCATTGTTCATAAGAAGAAGGCACCTTTCAGGCAGTTGGTTGTCAGAAAGATATTTTCTTACTGTGGGTGCAAATACCTTGTGCAGCCATTCCATGAACAATTGCCTTGTGACCCAAGCTTTCGCATTGGCCCTCCACATGACAGGCAGTCTGGCCTTGTTCACATTCTGTTCCCTGAATGCATGAGGGGTCTGGAAATGGTACACCAGTAGTGGCTTAATCTTCAGATCGGCGCTTGCATTTGCACACAGCAAAAAAGTAAATTTGTCCTTCATGAGCTTGTGCCCTTACAGTGCTTTTTCCTCTTGCATGATCTAAGTTCTGTTCGGCATCTTTTTCCAGAAAAGCCCTGTTTAGTCATAGTTCAACACTTGTTGAGCGACACATCCTTCTGTCTTCACGAATTTTGCAAATTCTTTCTTGTACGCTTCTGCAGCTGACTTTTCAGAACTGGAAGCCTCACCATGTCTCGTCACACTGTGGATGCAGAATGTTTCAAACCACCCTCTACTAGCTTTAAATTATTCACTTGCTGCACTTGTAGAGGGTTTTTTTTTGCAGTAAATCACTGTGCAAGTTCCTGGCTTTTTCACAGATCATAGCTTCACTAACGCTATCACCTTTCAGCTGTTTCTCATTCAACCACACTAAGAAAAGTTATTTCCACCTCTTCCAACATTTGTGTCCTCTGCTTGGTTAACATCCTTTTGCCACATCAGCTCCTTTGATGGCAGTTTTCTTCTTCAAAATAGTCGAGATTGTCGACTCTCCATATTGTACTCCGAGGCCAGATCAGTCACACGGATATCATGGTCATGCTTTTTCTACAATTTCCTTCTTCAACTCAATGGTTTTTTTATTCACAACCTTAATCTTACCATTCTTGCTCTGCTCTCTTTTTACCACCATGCATGCTCTGCACATTCTTGTCACATTCATTACTGCTCTGCACATTCTTTTCATCTTCATTACTGTTCTGCATGTTCTTGTTACCTTCATTACCGCTCTGCACTTTCTTTTTACTGCCATACTTGCTCTGCACATTCCTGTCACCTTCATTGCCGCTTTGCACTTTATTGTGACCTTCATTACCGCTCCAAACGGTCTTGTTATCTTCAATACCTCTCTGCACATTCTTGTCACCTTTATTAACACTCTGCACTTTCTGGTCACCTTCATTACCACTCTGCACTTTCTTTTTAACAACATGCTTGCTCTGCACATTTTTGTCACCTTCATTACTGCTCCGCACTTTCTTCTTACCCCCATGTTTGCTCTGTTTTCTTTGGAGCCATACTAATGTCCAAAACAGTATGTGCTAAAAGGCACACAAAACAGCTTTACAGCAAGTGTGCACAGGGATGTGCAGTAAGTACTGTATAGTATGTGCTAAAAAGAACACCAAAAAGCTTTTCAGTACTGTAAGGGTCTTCACAGTACACTCTCAGTGTATGTCTGTGACCGTGATCTCGCCTATAGGAAATCACGACCACATGTCAGAGCAGGGAAGATGGCTGTGGCTCGTGTGCATCAACCGAAGCAGAGTTCACGAACCAAAGCAAAATTTTGTGAAACAGAGTTGTTCGTGAACAGAAGCTTTCGTGAACCGAGGTATCACTGTACTAACTCTTTTGGCTATAAAAGATGTAGGTATTCGAAGGGGAGGCAGGGAGAGGAATTTCATTTAAAGAGATAGCTTAGTTAGAAAAACATGTAGGTTCTCTTCTAGCTACCCATATAACAGCTCTCCTCTAGGCAGAACATAATCTAGTTAGTGTGCACAAAGTAGATGTTTTACCTGTCCAGAAATTGAGTTTCTTATCCTGAATGCATCTTTCAACATTGCAAGAAGACCAACAAAGTTCTTGTCCTTATAATCAAAACGTTGACCAAAGACAATGGAGCAGATCACATTTGATACTGCTAAGGTCACCAGGTATTAGGGTCAAAAGGTGAACCTAGAGGAAAATTAAATAAAATTAAATAAAATGCATTCCTTGAATCAAGTGAATCATTAATGGGGCCAATGCATAACAAAATAGAGAAAAGCAATGAACACAAAGCAGAGATGTTGTGATGACCAATTGGAGAAAAAAGTTAAACCTGATTGGACATCTCTTAACAACCAGCATGCCGGTATTATTGTATGCTTGGATCAAATCAGTTTCTTCAGATAATCACTCTAAAGCCTGAAGACAAACAGGTCAGAGAACATTTTAAACCCACCTGCTGTTTTTTCTAAACTCCTCTATAAGGCAACGTGATTCCTCCTGGATCCGCTCTTCAACACTTCTCTTCCCCATTCCAAAATTCCTCAGTGTGGTGAGAGAGAAACGCCGGAGCTGCTTCCAGCGCTCCCCATTACTAAGCATCACTCCTGTTGACAAAAACTAGCATTTTGTAATAATTATTGAAGTGAAGTATATGTAAAGCCAAAACATTTTTTCATTTTGGTATCATACTTAGGAGTAAAAACTTTTTTTTTTTCTGTGTCCTATTAATTTGGGGACATTTCCCTTCACTTTCTGTCCTAAATGCACATACAAGTAATAAAACCCTTACAAAATACATATTCTTTAAAGCTGAAGTCTAGAGGACCCACCAAAAACAATTATTTATATTATACCCCTATTGAAGTTGTTTTTTGATCTTCATTCAAACAGACAAATGTGATATACCTAATACAAACATAAGGAAGCGTTTTTTAAACAAGAATATCAATACATGTAATGGTGTACGCTGGAAAAAGTACATTTGCTCAGAAGGTATTGCCTTCTTTAGCAGAAAAAATGTCTTGTAGGTGTTTTGCATAACTACCCACCAGTCTTTGATACCATTTATGATTACTCCTTCTTGGATAAACCGCCTGTTTCAAATCCATTATTTCATTGGAATTTAAATCAGGGCTTTGACTAGGCCAGTCCAAAATCCTTAATTTCCTCTTTCTGAGCCATTCCTCGATTTTCAAGTGTGTTTCAGATCATTATCATGTTGAAAGATCCATTTCTGGTTTTACTTCAACTTTTGAAGAGATAGCCTGATATTCTCCTCAAGCAGACTTTTATAAGGATGCAGAATTCATGGTTGACTCAATGTCTGCAAGCTGCCCAGACCCTATAGCAGCAAAGAGACCATAACATTTCCACCACCATGCTTACCAGTTAGTGTGAGTTTATTCTCCTCAAATTCTGTTCTTGGTTTGCATCATACATGTTTAGCATTTACTTTATCTTGGTTCATCAGTCCACACAGCACATTGTTCCAGAAAACCTGGTCTTCCCCTATGTATTCAGTGACAAATATTGTATTGCTCTTGTTCTTTTTGGACAGCACATGATTTTCCTGGCATACTTCCTATGCATATTAATTTGGGGTAAGACCATTCTGATTGTAAATGCCTCCACTTTGACCCCAACTGTTGAAATACAGTAGCTACCTACAGATCCTGTGATGAAATTTTGACTGCCTTGGAAACTTCCTTTAGCATCAAGCTGTCAGCTCTTGGAATTGATTTTCAGAGTTGGTGAGTCTTGGACAAATTAGCAGTCCTTTGAAATCTATGCCACTTATAGATTATCTTCCTTATGGTGAAATGACTGATAATAATGATAATCAATCTTTTTTAAATACCTTATTAGAGTCATAGGCTCTTGCAATCTTATTCTCAGAACCTAAGAAAGCTCTTTTGATTTTGGCACAATGCCGCCACATGGCAGCAGAGAACACCAGCAGACCCTAGATGCTTAACTGTACGAAAAAGTAGCAACCACCTCACCTATAACCAGTCGTTGCAGTAAGGCTCACATGGAAGGGCAATGTACATCCCTAACAAACACAAATTTCCCAGCACACTTACCAGCCAGCCTGAGAAAACACCAAACTTGCCCTGTCTAACAATTCACGTTACAAACAGAGGATTTTTGTTCGTGCACATTTGCAAACATATTGTGTAAGCCACGGTGCCTACGTCAAGGCACCTATGTGTACTGCTGTCTTACCATTATAATTTTTAGTGTATCCCAAGTTGGAGCACATATAGCAGTGCATAGATTAAGGGCAGGTTTGCCTTGAGGAAGCCCACCTCTCCTTAAAGGTACAGGGATGCACAGGATGCCCAACAAAAGCACAATGGCAGCTGAAGTCATCCAGTGTATCCCTGCAGCCAATTCAACTTTCCCTAAGCACCTTACTGCAAAAGCTGGTTAAAGATTAGGGTGGTTGCCACTTTTTTGTACAGCCAATTGCTTCCTTTTTTTTTTGCGGGCTGGCTGGTAAGTGTGCTGGGAAATTTGTGTTTGTCCTAGATGCTTAAGTTTTTAGTAAGACAGGTTCCATCTGCATACTCCCCAGGAAGATTCTAATAATCTTCACCAAATTTGGAACATCTAATTCTAATTTCATGGATTTGAAGGGGTGATAAGTGTAAAGGTGCACTTACATTTTCTATATGACAAATCTGCACATTTAGAATCTTAATTTTAGATTATGAGGTTAATACACCAAGTCCATTTTATGTTTAATTTGCTCTCATATATCATCTTTACCTGATATTCATTCAAACAATGTGTGGAAATGATATGTTTCATAAGCTGTTGAATAAACGGAACTATGGCATCCGCTGTAATAGATTCTGGTATGCAGCGGAATTTAATGTTGTTTCACCTGGAGCGGTCATCCAAGTCAGCTAGTTTGAAATTTATTTGGTTAATCTCTGCTTCATGATCTGCATGTGTGTCTATAAGGTCATTATGTGCGGTGCACATTCCCCTAGCTTGTTCTCTATGTGGCAGATGTAACGTTCTTGTTTTTGGACTTCGCTGGAGATTTGGGATAAAGTCGTCATCAAGTCGCTGTGCAGCGTTTGTCGCAGAGAAAGAAGCATGTTCTTCATAGAAATTTCTGTGATAGGTTGGTCAGAGGCAGGATAGGAATCAATCAAAGATGGAGAGTTGTCAGGATTTGAAAGCGAAAAGGAAGGTTGGCTGTCAGAGGGGACATCATTGTCCAATCTAGGCCTGGACTTGGCTGAGCTAGCAGTCGTAGGAGACAGGGGAGGAGATGACTCACCCGGGTCTCCTGGGTACAGTGGTGCCTTCTGCCTGGGGTCCGGGTGGTAAGCTGTTTCTCTCATGTGAGGAGAGGTTGCCTGTCACGCCGCCGACGCCATCTTGTCCAGGGGACCGAGGGCTGGGAAGAAGTTTGTGAGTTTCCTGGTCCTGCTTTAGGTCGGCGGGTCATGACAGATTATGCTTTTGTCACCCTCCGGTTCCTGTGTGCGGTGATTGCTGGGCTCTGGCTTGGTGTGAGCTGCTGATATACTGGCGGGCGGATGGAGCTCAGGTTAAGGAGCTGTCATCCGTAGGCCGGACACGCAAGCATCCCCCCAAACAATGTGTTTGAATGAATATCTAATGTTTTCCTGTTCAAATATGTTGAAAAAAGCCTACAGTTTTCATGGGGTGCACTTAGTTATCAGAAATGTTTTGTGAGACAAAGATGGAGTCTGACACTGCTGACTTTTCAGGCAATGGCAGTCCCCTGGCTATCATACTGATGCTCTTGCTTCAATGCTTTGAGTTGTTCACTACTTGTTTCAGGTCAATAAATTACAAAGTATTGAAGTGGATAAGCATAACAGCCAGCCTGTTAGCATTTTTATCAGCAGGTTACCTTTGGTAGATCTCATGGTTTTCTTAGTAAAGGTTTACATGTAATTAGAGGTGTTACATACCATAGTCTTTAAACACAAGTTGTGCTCCCGGAACCTTTGCTCTGTCACCGAAAATATCTGCATTGTCCACTAAAGCCTCCTTTACAGCATCATATCCATGTAGGACCACCACTGTCCTGCTCCCCAAGTGGACAGTAAACACATCTCCATGGATCTTCGCAAGCTGTGGACAAAACAACAAAACACTATTTGTAACTGATATACTTACTATGAATTTCACACCTGCTGTCTGCAATATGTTGAAAAGCCTTCAAACGGAAGATAGTCTCTTGGTCTATTTATTATTGAATGTGTTTTTCATTGAGTTTAAATATTAAATAGGACTGCATACCTATTCATATACAGTATATGTGTAGCACATAGCGTAGGTCAGATAGGTCTCGCTTGCCTGAAAATCCAATCATCATCTCATGCCTATAGTTCACTTTGCATCTGCGTTACAACTACAAATATATTTAGGATCAGATGGTGTACTTAAATATATATATATAAAAATGTTTGTGCATGTGTTTGTGTTTCTGTATGCAAAGTGAAGGTGATTTACCTTTGTAGCTGAGGAGTTGGAATAGGGGTATAGCATATGGAGGTTATGAGCTAGAAAATGGCTTATGGCTTATTATGATTGCCTGTTCTGATCAACTATAACGTAATGATTACCCACTTAGTAGTGAGTAAGTACCCCTTTTATTGTCAAAACAGCCCTGACCCTTCATGGCACAGACACCACTAGATCTCTGAAGGTATGGTGTGGTATTTAGTACCAAGCCATCTGTAGCAGATCCTTTAAGTCCTGTAAGTTGCAAGGTGCCTCCATGGATTGGACTTTTTTCCAGCACATCCCACAGATGCTTGACTGGATTGAGATCTGGAGAATTTGAAGGCCAGATCAACACCTTGACCTTGTTGTTGTGCTCTTCAAACCATTCTTGAACCAATTTTGCATTGTGCCAGGGTGTGATATCCTGCTGAAAGAGGCCACTGCTAAGATGTGGTAGCTGCACTAGTTTTCTTTTTTTAGTTCTTGTCATAATTTTTTCTTTATTTTCACCTTGTGATCCTTCCAGTAAGTCTGTTATTTATCGACTCTCCTTTTACAGACCAAGCAGTCCAGA